GAAGCAGTTGTAAAGCCAGGTCGTCGCACTCTTTGGGAAGCCCGGCAGAAAGAGCGTCGGAAGCACCGGCGAGCGCCGCCCGCCCTCCGACTGACCTTCGCCTTGAGAGGTCGAGCCTCGAGGCGCGGCAGCGACTCCGGGTGTGTCGAGGACATAGTCGGGCAGTCTCAGGCCGCGGCACCAGTCACGCTCGCCTTCGCATGTCGGGTCCACCAATAGCCTGTGCCGACGTGCGCCGGTGGCCGGCCCAGCGGCGGCGGCCCTCCGTGGTGCGGTGGAGGGCGCGGCGAGCACCTGTCGCAGCGTCAGCGGCGGCCGCCGCACCGCACCCGAGCCGTTTCCCACGTCGAGGCACAGCGTAGCGGCCTGGCTGCCGTCAAGGCGAACCAAGAGGCACTCTGGCTTGCGCTCGGTTGCAGGCCGCGTCCGCAGCGCCGTCGCCTCCAGCCCACGATGCGGGCCGGACGTGAAGAGCACGCGTGCGCCGGGCGGGAAAGGTAGGTCAAAGTCGGACAGCAGAGCGCCTGCCTCCATCGCCATCCCGCCTGTTTGCGCGCCGTTTTTCTTTAGGTTCTCGAGGTGGATCCTTTGGCCGCGTTGTTTTTAACTTCCAATATCCGGGCTCCAAACGCACCTCAAACGGCAGCCGCCTCCACCTCCACCTCCTCCTCCACCTCGTCGTCGCATGGCGGGGCAGCACCCGCCGCCGCTGCAGCCTCCGCCCTCGCCGCCTGCTCCGCTGCGCGCGCCTGCCGCCTCGCCGCCCTCTGCTCGCTCGTGGAAGGCGGCGGGTCGGAGAGCAGCGAGAGAGCCGTGGCGGTGGCAATGTCCACCGGGTCAAAACCGCCCTCCTCCTCCTCCTCGTAGCTGGCCTCGGACGGCCCTGCTGCGCCTTGCGGCGGTGCTTGCTGCGGCTCGAGCAGGCGGACGGTCGTGTCCCACAGGTGCCGCGCACGCGCCAGCGCCGCCTCCTCGGCGGTGGCGAACCAACCGAGGAAGACACTCTTGCCGCCAACCTTCATCTTCAGCTCGTACTTCTTGCTGCCTCGCCGCTTCGGGCAGAAGGACACGCCCCTGTAGCCGCTGTTGCTGCTGCTGCTCGTAGCCAGTGTGAGGCCCTCCCTCTCCGCCCTCGCCGCCTGCTCGGCGCCAGCAGCAGAGGAAGGCTCGGGTGGCGGCGGCGGCGGCGGCGGCGCAGTGAGATCGCTGGTGTCCCTGCCCGCCTCCCTGCGGGCGTAGAAGAGCGCAGCCTGCTCGGCAGTGGCGAAGTTGCCGAGGAAGACTTGCTTGCCTCCAACCCTCACGTTTAACTCGTACTTCTTGCTGCTTCGCTCCTTCCGCTTGAAGGTCACGTTCTTGTAGCCGCTGTTGCTGCTGCTGCTGGCGGTGAGGGTGAGGCCCTCCCTCTCCGCCTGCCGTATCACCTCAGCGCCAGCGGCAGATGGAGCCGGGCGAGGCTGCAGCAGCTTGGTGGCGTCGGCGCGGCCGTACTCTGAGCGAGCGTAGGCGGTGGCCGCCTCTTCGGCGGTGTCGAAGGAGCCGAGGCGGACACACTTGCCGCCATCCTGCACCGAGGAGGACATGCTTGCCGCCATCTCTCACATCCGCCTTGAACTTCTTCCTGCTGCGGTTGAAGGTCACGTTCTTGTAGCCAGTCGTGCTGTTTTTGGTGGCTGGGATCAGCACGAGGCGCTCGGACACAGTGTCCTGTCGCCGCAATCGGCGCCATGTTGAAATGAAGAAATGCTGCCTGTGCAATTCGCTTTTCTCTCGAGTTTCTCGAGGTGGATATCCTTTGGCCGCGTTGGGTAGCGAGGATTGGTGTAACCCGAGCCACGGAGGCGTGTTTTCGAGATGCAGGGCGGCGAGCTCGTCGGCCTCAAGCTAGTCGGCGTGTACTTGGCCCCGGACACTGAGGCCGGGCGGAAGTGGCAGCGCGACAACCTCTCGGCTGACTTTACGGCGCGCTTTTCGGTCCTCGAGAGGGTTGACCAGCTTCGCGACGACGACAAGAACCACGACGTCCGGCAGCTGCGGTACTCGATGATGCGCTGCCGCAGCTCAACGCCGCACTACTGGATGCGCACGATGTACCCGTGTGTGGTCCGGCCAGTGCTCGAGGAAGTGGTGGAGCCGGCGCTCAAGAAGTCGTTCGTGCAGCTGGCTGAGGCGGGCCACAGCCCGCAGGAGCTCGTCGACCAGGCCTGGGCGGAGGCCCGGCAGGACGGGCGCTTCGGTGGTTGCGGCCTGATTGCTCAGCTGATCCAGCCTGGGGGGAAGGCCAGCCCTAGGCAAAGAAACCAGCACCTCATCAGGGGCTTCCCTGAGCGTCACAGCTCGGTGATTTTGCTAGTCTGCGGTGTTGTGAGCGGTGTGGATGGATGGAGGCGTGTGCGTCTTGAGTCGGTCGGTGTGGCAGACTGGCGGCATCGGATCGGGGACCGCATTTACCTCTTCCCTAAAAATCCTTAGCGCTCTTAGAGGGCCACCGGCTCTGACCTTTGTGCTTTGACCTACTGAGTGCCGGCCGGAGCCAAGAAACCACGGCGTGGGGTGGGTGAGAGGTGTGGAAAGGCCCTTAGAAACGGCGGCGTGGCGCGCGATCCTGTTTTCTTGTTTTCTTAATAGAAGCAGCGTATCTCGGTCGTTCTTCATACGGCAATCGCAGAGCAGGTTGTGAATGAGCTTGCCTGTGGCGCTGAGTGTGGCGGGGGCGGGCGGGTGCACGGAGCTAAGTGCCTCGTCGCCCTCGCAGGAGTCGCTTAGGCGGCTCCCGTGGTGTACCTGTGTTAGTGCCAGTGCGCGCCAGTCCCGTGCCCAGTGTCGTGCGAGGGAGTTTTGTTGTAAAATTCTTAATGCCCGCGCAACCCCCACTGTGCATTGAGCACTTGTACGTCTCTTTTGAGAGAAAGCAAGACGAGTATACTACCTCGTCCTACCTCTCCTATACTACCCTTGCTACCCTGGATCCCTCGTACAGAGTCACTCACATGAAGCACAGTAGAGTACATCACGACGCCACCAGTGCCGCCTCCTTCTCCTTTTTGAGCTTTTTGTGCTTCTTGGTGCTGGACTTCTTCGATGCCACCTGCTCGGCCTCGTGCTCCTCAGCGGCACCAACGAGTCTTCCCGCCGTCTCCTCCCCAGCCGCCTCCACCCCGGCCTCCGCCTCCACCCCGGCCTCCGCCTCCACCCCGGCCTCCCCCCCCGCCCCTGCCTCCTCTCCCGCCGCGTGCGGCTCCACCAGTCCAAGCACGAGCTGCCCCACGCCCGCCTCCTTGAGCAGCTTCGCCGCGTGCGAGTGGCCGTCCGCGCGCACGTCGTTGACGGTGAGTAGGCTAAGTCCCTCGCGCAGCTGCCCCGAGGCGATCGCCAGCCCGCCCTCGCGCACCGCGCGGATCTGTGGCGGGCCCGCGTCGCCCTCTAGCGCGAGGCCAATCTTTGCGTCTGCTGTCTGCTTTGTCAGAGTGACGGTGAAACGCCGCCCGCGCGGGCTTTCAGAAGCGGCTTTCAGTTGACCGACTGAGGCGCCCGCGTCAAGTGCCCTGTGATCGGCCGGCGCCAGCGGCTCAACTTCGGTAACTCCCTCCGTCGTGGCAGTGTGCAGCTCCTCAACCTCGGCGGCGACTGCGGCCTGCAGCCTTGCAAGCAGGTCCTTCTGCTTGCCCGTAGTCGGGAGTCCCCTCGCCGCCAGCTTGATCTTGACCTCCTTTGGCTTCAGCCGTCGCACCTCGTCCAGAGCCTCCTCCCGCGCGGCGGCCAGCTCGTTCCCACCCGCTCTCCCCTCGTCGCCCACCATCAGAGAGTCGCTCGCCACGCCCGCATGAAGCGGCTGCAGTGGCTGAGGCGGGTGCGGTTGTCGGTCGGCGGGGCCGGCTGTCCTGGGCGGAGCTGGTGTTGGACTGGCAAGGGCGGCCGCAAGCTCCCTGATTTCCGACCGACTGAACCGGATCGATTCGAAAGGGAGGCGGCCTCGCGGGTCGTGCATCTCAACAGCCGACCGGCGCAGCAGCTCAACTTGCTCGCCCAACAGGGAGAAATTGCGGCCCGAATGCAGTATGTGGATGGTAGATGCGAGCGCGCGCGACTCAAGCGGTCGGAAGATGATGTCGGAGGCCTTCTCGGCCGGCAACACCCCATCTGAGACCAGCCGATCAACGTCCATGCGAGAGAGCTGCACCTTTCCACCCTCGAGCTCTTGGGCGCGAATGCCGCGGTCCTCCATCAGGGCAAGTACCGAGACCGCACCCACCTTTGCCTTTTGCCAATGCTGCGACGACTGCCGCTTCGGAGGCGACGCCAGGGCTGCGGCGATGCTGTGAATCGACGACTCCCGCTTAGCCGAGGCGGCCTCAGCATCCAGCTCGACGCCTGCCGCTCCGGACGTGATGTCGTTGGTCGCATCCGGCGGCTCGGCCTCTCCCTTCTTGTCGCTCTTCTTCTTCTTCTTCTTCTTGGGCTTGCTCTCGGGCGGGGGGTCCTCGGCCATCGTGCGCCCTGGCTGGGTGGCCGACGTTTCGTTTTGCGATTTTTTCAATGAGGCGTATCTGAAACGTAAACCCTCGACCCCGCCGACATTCGCTCGCGTCGCGGCCGTCTCGCTCCTCTTCCACGCCTCGCTTGCGGTAGAGGGCATCCGCTTGTGGGCGCAAGAGCGCGGCTTCGAGCTGCCGGCGCCGCCAGAGGGCGAGAGCTGCGCCGTGCGGTGGCTGTGCTTTTCAGCCTTTTCACTGCTTGGAATGCCACCCCCCACCTCCTTGCTCTCCGCCTCGCTCACGCCTCTCTCGCCCTACACCTTCGCCGAAGTGCGTGGCGGCCGGCTGCGAGGCCGCGTCAACGCGACGACCGGCATGCGCTCCTTCCTCGGCATCCGCTACGCCGCCCCGCCGCTCGGCGACCTGCGGTGGCGCGAGCCGCTGCCCGAGCCGGGCTGGGCGGGCACTGCCGACGCGCTTGAGTATGGCAGCGTCTGTCTGCAGAACCCGCTCTTTGGCTGGAACAGCATCGAGAACCGCGGCAACATGAGCGAGGACTGCCTCTTTCTCAACGTCGTGGCGCCTCCGCCGCGGCCGCAGCCCTACCCGGTGATGGTTTACATCCACGCCGGCGAGTTCCACTTTGGGAGCGGCGCCGACCGCGAGTCGGACGTCCCTCACTTTGCGACCGATGTCATCCTCGTGAGCTTCAACTA